ACTGGGGGACACTGGGGGACAGCGCGAGGAGGCAGGGGCGTGGCCAAAGAAAGAAAGGGGCGTGTCGTCCGTGATTGACAGTTGCGCGGAGGAGGAGGGGGCGTGCCCAGCCGCCGGGGGGCGTGTCCAACCCCGCGCTCACCCCTGACCCCGCCCCCTCCGCGCGCGCCTGCGCGGGGCTCTCCCATTGGCCGCCCTTCGCGGTGGGCGGGGCCGCGCGGTTCCTCCCCGCGGCGCTCCGCTCTGTGATTGGCCGGCCGGCGGCGGCGCGGTGACGTAGGACGCTGGGTGCGTGCGGTGCGCGCTGACGTTGCGCGGCGGCGGCGGTGAGTGAGGGGCGGCCGCGACCCCCGGGAGCCGCCGGGACCCCGCGGGCGGTGCCCGGGACCGCCGGGACCGCCGGGCCAGCCCCCCGCGGGCTCCCCGGGGCTCCCCGAGCGCCCGCGGCCGGTCCCGGCCCGCCCGGCCTGCGCGCCCCCCGCGCCCCCCGCCCCGCGCTGACGGGACAGCGGCGGCGGCGGCGGCGGAGCCCCGGGCCCGGGGCGGGGACACCGCGGAGCCCCCGCGGCCGTGCGGGGTGCTGGAACCCGGGATCGCTGCGGGTGGGAGCGGGGGTCCGTCCCCGGTGGGTTTCGGGGGTCCCGGTCACCTGGAGGGGCCCCGGTGGGTCCCGGTTTAGTCCCGGTTTCCTCTGGGGGTCTCTTGTCCCCCGGTATGGGAGGGTGCTCGGGGGAGAGGGGTGGGGCCTTTCTCGGGGGGTCCCCGGTGCCTTTCGGGGATCCCCGTCCCCCCCGGAGAGCGGCTGTGTGTGTCCCCCGCCTGTCCGGTGTGCCTGAGAGAGGGGTGTCCCGTCCCGGGGGTCCTTACGGCTGTCCCCATTCCGGTGTCCCCTCTCGGGTGTTCCCTCCCGGGGGTGTCCCCAATCCTGTGTCCCCTCCCCAGTGTCCCCTCCCGGGGGTGTCCCCATTTTGGGGTGTCCCCATTTTGGGGTGTCCCCACCCCTGACCCGCTGCCTTCTCTCCGCAGGACCCTCCGGACCCTCCCGCACGCTCCCAGCCCGGGGGGGCCCCTCGGCACCCCCCGCCCGCACCCCCCATGCGCTGCCCGGCCCGGGGGGGCCCCCCCGCCACCTGAGGGGGGGGCAGGGTCGCCTCCCCTCCCCCCCC